TATAGGGAAGAAAGTGCATTATCAAAGGAAGGATAATAAAAAGCATACACACACACTCTTCCTGTTTTTTAGTGGGAAACCACTGCAGAACTATGTTTGATTAAATATAGTCATAATGTAGGAACAAAAAAAAAATAAGGAAACACCCCACAAATTCTAAAAAGTATTTTAATCTCGATTGCTGTTCAGACTCCTGTATTTCCCTATAATTTAAAATGAAATCTGTGAACTGCTCCAACACTTTTCTTTCCAGTGGTACCATGAGCAGGCCTAAAAGCTGCTGCATTACAACAGTAACATAATCCTTGCCGTGCACCCTGTGCACTGTGCCTGTAGCACTGAGGCAGCGGAGCCAGGGAGAATTACTGGTATTTCACTGCGTGCTTGAAGAGACATGAGGCTAGAGGAAGGTCCACAATTCAGTGTTAATGCTGCTCCTAGCAGAAATGTCTCCAACCTCTTTTAGTGAGAATGGGCTCACACCTTTCTTATCTTTGTTCACTTTTTAAATAAAGACAATAAAAATGACCTTCTGATATTGGCCCAGCAGCTCCCCGTTCATTAGTGCTGTCAGGTCTTTGTCTGACCATCATGAGCAAAAGAATGAAAAATGATCTAGATTACCAGCAAAAAGGCAGCTCAGAAGCCAAAGGCAATTCGCACACAGAGAAAAATATGATTTGTCCGGGTTTCTTCCAACACCCAGGCTATTTCTGCCACCTTCTGCTGCTGGTGATACTCAGCCCTCCACAATTACCAGGTCTGCAGGCTTGTCACCTCAAGCCTTCCTTGCTGTCTCACCTTCACTCTAGATAGAACACCATCAATTCTAAAACCGTAACCATTTCCCTCCCTTTGACTTCCTCCACCGTAAGCAACATTTGTCTGTAAAACACTTTCCCGCATTTAAACCTGATGATTTCATCTATTCTGAATGCTTTTAGATGTTTCTCTTTGCCACTTTTTTCATTTTAAGTTTTCTATTTCTGCTCGAAAGCTTTTGCTCTTCCGCATCCCATATGCACAACACAGCTTACACATATATGTATACTACGTAATGAAACCATTCCCTATACCCTATATGCTGCTCCACTGCCCCGTTTTGACAGGTAAGGGCCTGTCTTTTATTGTTTGAGCCACAACCATGACATCTCCCACATGAAACAGGTAAGCTGAGTAAACTGACAGATATAGAATAATCAAGGTCAGGTTTCTGTCTGCCTTTCTCTCTTGATGTAGCTCAGATGGCCCACTGCAAACCCTCATGTCAGAGTCCTCCCAACTGACACAAAACACTTTAAAAATCCTACAAGTGGTGATCATAGTGTGAGTGGGTCCTTTGTCCTACTGCCTTGCTGACAAAGGAAAGCCTGCCTTGCTTCCTACATCCTGGTCCACCAGCTGTTTGACATGGGGAGGCTGTTTCCATGGTGATGGTCAGTCGGAAATGGCAGCCTCGTCCCTTCAATTTTCACCGTGTTGGTGTTGACACTGCTCTGATTTCTCAGTTGGGCTGGAGATTTCCATTGGATTTACCCTTTTGTATCCAGATACCCACACACAACACGTTTGATTTTCCAGCCCTCCACTTCTACTTGTTATTGGTTACAAAGGAAAGACTTCCAGAGCCTCGCTGCTGGTGATGCAAGCAGGGAAGATCACCTTGCACATTCACTGCTTCTGCATGACACTACCTAAATTTTAACGTCTTTGTAAGGCCTTGTTCAGCTGTTTCGCTCAGCCATTCCTTAAAGAGAAGTCTTTCTTACAAAATGAGACCTTTCCTTGAAGGTTCACTCAGATGCAATGGGATGTTCAACAGTAAGTGGGAAGTGTATGTGGTTCAATTACCCTCAGAGAAGGACCAGCAGGATGTGACTCTTCTGAAGCTGCTGGAAGTGAGACTTCTGTGGCTTTTATTTACAGCTAAAGTAATTTTTACTTACAGCCACCTGAAGTTCAAGGCTGCTCACAGATGAAAGAACAGTGCTCATTCTCTCGCTCTAGCAGCCCTAGCGCTCAAACCATCTCCAAAACCACGCTCGCCTACCACACAGTGCAGATCTCGCCAGTTCCTGCCTCTGACGGCGTGCACCGGGACAGAGCTGCTGTCGCGGGGCCGTTCCCCTCCGCAAGACTGGAC